TATAATAATAAATATATTTTAATTACTAAATTAATATAAAAGAATAAATATATATGTTATGAAACTTTTTTATTTTGTTTAAAAATGTTCGTTCAATTATAAAACATTTTATTTTCAATCCTGAGCAGGGATCAAGGAAATGTTTATAATAACATTTTGGGATCTATTATACGTTTACTTCTTGGAAACGTGCAGGAATTCAGTTTACGTACGTGCAATCGATTGATCGTATTGAAATAATATTTGAATTTGATTGATACTTTATCGTGCTTTATCAATAAATAATATATTTAATTGAAGTATTCAAGTGATTTCTTGTATTTTGTTTTTCTTTATCTTTTCTTTCTTTATTTTCGTTTTTTTTTTTTGTCACAGGGACACAAGTTTAAGCACGATCGCTGAAGTACCATCGAGATATCATTTCGCAGCACACATGGGTCAATTAATATCCGGCGTTGAAGGACAAGGCTGTCATAACTTTTATCCTACCTGTCCATTACCCGGAACCAGCGTTCTCAACATGATGAAAAAAGTTAGAATAAGATGAAAAAACATAAGAAGTAACTACTTAAACAACCTCGTATTTTCGAATCCAACCACGTTACGTTAAACGAATAATATTCATTTCGTTGTGAAACTTTTAACATTTACGATTGTATCTGTGATATTCTTCAATGTGTGCGAGAATGATTTAAAAAAAAAAAAAGAAGAAAGAATAAAATTAATAGATACGAATACTCATTTTAGTTCCGTGTGAATGAATTTAATAAAGGTGACCTTGGATGATCTATGATTAATCGAATATATCCTAAACTTTACATAATCGCAAAATGTATAATACACTCTTAATACTATAATACTTTTCTTTTGTTTTTTACACGATACATACGTGTAAAAAAAATCATGGAAATCGAGGAAATAATATAATTTAGGTTGTCGTATAAAAGATGAATAAAATTGTTGTTTATAATTCGTTGCTAATCAAAAATCGTTTAAACAAAATTCATGAGAAAATATAATTGGGTGTATTGAAACATCAACATGTATATTTCAATCGTATATATAATATTATATAATCGTTTAAAATTACTACAATAATTATTTACATACATGTCCTACATATATTTCATGAATTACTTATATAAAAGTAATAACAAGAAAATAATTTACTTTAAATATATTATTATAAATAATAATTGTTGTAATATTAATGCGATATCGTTACGATATCATACTACTACTATTAGAAGTTTATAATAAATACAAAAATGAAATATATAATAAGAGAACAAAAATTCAGTTCCCATAATCCTTGAATCAATTTGATTCATTTCTTTTCAAAGAAATGTCAAAGTTGTACAATTAACAGCATTACATTCTCTGATTTTATTCTTATTTTAACATCACATTATAATCATTATAATATAATTAATTTACTTTAAAATATGATTGAACCGAAATTATAACGAAATCATTCGAGATTGTAATAACTTACGTTTATGTGGTTTTCTATGAAATAAGTAAGTAATTGAAATATGTAATGATGCAAAATTTGCAACGAATACAAGACTTCAAATTACATAATATATATATAATAATAATAAAATTAATTACAAAAAGATTTTTGTACAAATTTATGATTTCAAACGTTAATAAAATAAATTTGTGTTCAGGGATTATGAATAACAAACAAACAAAATAAATACAGAAATCATTAACATCGTATTTGTATTACCTATTTCACATATTTCTTTGTATTATATATACTACAATGCGTTCCAACATATATTAATGATAAGTTATATCAAAAATGATTGGAATAATAATTTTCGGCACCTTTGTCGAGTGAAAAAAAATAAAAATCCGATGCCAAATCTAAAACGGACGTTTTGCAACGAGCTGTAAAAATGAACGTGCGTTTAAAACGTTTTCGTGCCAAAAATCTCTCCATCCTGTATGATCATTTTCTCTTTCTTTCTTTCTTATTCCTCGGTTTAAATTATTTATTACCAACAGTAATATGCTTTGTTCAAAAATCGTATCAAATAAAAAAGCAACTCAACCCAAACCCAAATCTATCCCCAACCCCCCTACCCACGTTTTGTTTTTTCTTTTATTTTATTTTTCATTTTTATTCTTTTCTGGCATTTCCATTGAGAAATTTTTCGAGAAAATTATTCGGTTTATCAAGATATCTCTCTCTCTCTCTCTCTCTCTCTCTCTCTCTCTCTCTCCATTTTCCTTTGTCCATTCGTGCCAACTTTCAACTGGTGTTAACGCATTCTCTTTCTATACACACATACACATATACATATATATCTTTCTCTTTCTTTTTCAATGTTCGTTCTACAGTCTAGTGCACGATAGTCTTTGCAAAGGGTGTATACTCACTCTCACCTAACTGCTATTTCCTCGTTCTATGCTCGTTTCCGAGATTCCCCCTCCACTTCCCACCTCCCACCCCGTTTTCTACCCATCGCCATTCTACTTTCTTCACCAAGCTCTTCTCACATTCATGATCCTTCCTCTTCCTTTTTCGAGGAAACTACGTTCACCCCATTAACGATGATCACCATCGTCGAGATTTTCAAACTGTTCTATCCGACGACTTCACTTGCTAAACTTTGATGGACGCCGAAACGCATGATCATCGTAATCGAGATTCACCCCCAGCCCCACCCCCATTTGATTTTCTTCTTCATTTTCTTCTTTTTCTCACAAAATTTGTTCTCCTTTATTTCTGTGTTTATTTTCTGTTTTGTTTTTTGGTTTTTCCATTCGATATGGTAATAATAATTAACCCTTTATACTCGAGGGCTCGAGGCTATGGAGACAATAAAAACAAAACAAAAAAAAAAAACAAAAAAAGAAGAAGAAAAACTGAAGCAAATTCAATTTAATCTACTACGTACCAACTATGACTTATCTTTTATATAAATATATCATTTACTTATATAATATGTGAATATGATTTTTGCTAGTAATATAAATGAAAAAAAAAGAAAAAAAAAAAACAGAACTTCGAGTGCACAAGGTTAATGATTCGATTATAATTCACACACCTTGGTTTAAATAAAAATATAATTTTGAAAGAACGTTGAACAATTTTTGGAATTATTGTTGTTGTTTAACGCGAACTTAGATTTTTTTCTATACTAACTATTATTTACTTTCTCTTAGATAATATTATGCTTATGCACTTTCGCATAACGCAAGTATTATTATTATTATTATAGCACGCATGAGGTTGGACTTTAATCGATTCGGTACTACTACACAATACTTTCTTACCTATCTACTTTGTATGCATTCAAATGAAGATCAAAAGAAGTCATGAAATTCATTGTAATTTATTCATTCATATTGTGAAATATGTTGCGAATAGTTTTTTATTTGTAATCTATTAGAAGTCATTTCGTATTATTATTATTGAATCAATTTCATTCGTTTGATTTCTTAATTTCGTTTTCGTTAGATCGCATTGTATAATCAAATTAAATATCGTTAAATCGATTCTGTGTGTGTTTGGGATATTTTTCGAAAAAATATTCTATGGCTTGTTGCTTTTTATTTTCTTATTTCCAAATGCCTAGTATAGTTAATGCTTATCTAAATATATTTTCAATCGTGTAACACAAGTAACACATTTGTAATATTTTATAATAGAATTTTAAATTATAAATATTGTATTTTATCAAAGATTTGTTCATTTATTTGTATGTCTATTGAATATTTAATTTAATTGGATATGTTTTATATTTTATTAAAGATTTGTTAATTTGTATATGTGTATTAAATATATATTAGAAATTGATGAAGTATTTAATTCGATATGTTTATGATTGTATATAATAATTATTATAAATCTAACGAATACTCACACGTATTTGGTAGATTTTTTCTTATCATCCATATTATTCCTATATAATAAAAAAAAACATTATTAATTATATCATATAAATAATGATAGAATATAGAAACTCTTGATTTTTTGTTTGGAATAAACAAAATCTAGCCATAATGAAACAACGATAATATAGATATTAATATTAATATTTGTATAAATTAAATACTTCGTGTAACCTATAACATTAAATAAATTTCTAATAAATTAATACACGCGAAACACATCATTAATAATAACGATATAACAACAAATTCAGTATAATAAAGTGATAGTAGTGGGGAGTATTTAATAACATTTACTTACCAGAAAAGAAATCACAAAATTTCACACGATTATGTTAATTAAATTATTCAACAATGTTACACTAAATGAATTTCAATTGAACAACACATCCCATGTGTTAAAATTCGAATAAATATAATAAATTGAATAAAAAAAAAAAAAAAAAAGAAAAACAATAAGGAAGGAAAGGAAGGAAGAACTTCCGAGATGACGTTAAAAGTAAAACTCAATCTGCTTACGAAATGTTACAATCACATAATAAGATTCTAAGAGACCAGAACCATTTCAAAGTCGATACGAACGGTTAGAGGTGGGAGTGCGATTACTTTCTCCAGGTCGAGGTAGGAACGTGCCCGTATGTTACTACAACCTGCACTGTTGTCTTCGGGTACATTCAAAGATTAACTTTTTACGAACGAAGTCAAGTGGACGACGTTCGTCGATTGAATTTTACAAAGGGAAATAGAAAGTTCTAAAGGGTTGTTATTTGTTCGATACTTTTCGGATTCTCATCATTTTCTTCGTTAAATTATTCCTCAATTTAATTAATAATAATAATAGTAATAATAATTAATTTTCGTTTTAGTCAACAAGTGTTAAAAATTAAAAGTGCCCCGGTTCGAATGAATTCAAATTATTCTGTGATATATAACAAGTGTTCTAATTTAATATTTAAATGATTCAATAATTAAATACGATTTAAAATAAAAAAAAGTCAACGAGAAATGTATCTAACTAAGTTATTCATTTTTATCGGATGTTATTTCGTTTTAATATCATCCGTCGTTTCTATGAATCAACGACAAGATGGATCTGATTTTGAATTTCCCGTACAATTATTAGGATTTCCTGTTATCATAGCAGCCGTGAGGGTATCGAATTTTATTAAAAAATTGGCCTATTCTTTAAATCCAGGTAAGAGGATATTACAAGTATATATAAGAGTAAACTAATTAGGTTAATTAATTACTCGTGAACGTGTACTTGTCAATTTTCTTTGATTAAAATTTATCTTTGAATTATTCGAATAAGAATAAGGAAGGAAGTGTTAGTTAAATGTCTTATGGTTCGTTAAGTAAACACGCAAGAAGAAAGGGAACACGTTACTACATACTAATGATTGACTAACTAATTCTTTTTCCTTGTATTTTTTTTTGTTATTTACTAACGTGATATTTTAGAAAAGGGAAAGTTTTTCATCGCAATGCGTGTGTCGTATAATATATATTTATATAATTAAACGTTTTATACCAAAAAAAATATATTGACATAAATATTTCATATTAAATTTCATACACACACACACATATATATATATTTTCATTTCATTCGATCATATGTATAAATAATTTAGATTAAAATGTTACACTTATTTTATTAATAGAGATATTCAGAGTGTTTTGTGACTTATGATTTAATTTAAACAATTGTTTTCTTTGTTTGTTTTTAATTATTAAAAACCAATATACTTTTATATACTATTTTCTTTTTACTTTTATCTACTTTGTGTGCATTACTATTATTATAATGATAAATTTAATAATAATTACATTATTTTAATTTTCTTTTTGTTATATATTGCATTGTATTACACTGTAATTATAATAATCTTTAGGGAGCTTTTTATATACTATTTTTATCTACTTTGTATGTGTTACTACTATTATAATGATAAATTTAATAATAATTACATTATTTTAATTTTCTTTTTGTTATATATTGCATTGTATTACACTGTAATTATAATAATCTTTAGGGAGCTTTTTATATACTATTTTTATCTACTTTGTATGTGTTACTACTATTATAATGATAAATTTAATAATAATTACATTATTTTAATTTTCTTTTTGTTATATATTGCATTGTATTACACTGTAATTAATAATATTTAGGAAGTTTAGGCTCTAGGGTCAATAAAATATTATTGAATAAAAAATAATATAATATATATCTCAAAATAAATGATTATATTGTAATATATATATATATTTATATTATCTAGATACCTATATAAGCAGAACGAGACGAATGGCACGTTTAATTCACGACGAGGAGATACTTGACGTAGGTCAAATTGAGAAAAAACTTGTTGAGAAACTCGGTAACAATGTGTGCATTTATGAGAGGATATGTTCCAAGTATGCCACGAAAACGTTGCTTAAAAGAAGCAGAGAACGTGTCCTAGATTGGGACGTTATATTCAGGTATGGTTAGATGACTAATCTTTCGTTATTATGAAACTCATCGTTTCGAGTTACGGATAATATGAAGACTGGTTTTTTTCTTTTTTTTTTCCCCTTTTTTTTATTTGGGAAGGAAACTTTTCTTTCCTCATACATCAAGATCTAACGATCTTGATAATAATAATTAATATTCAACTTGCAATATTAGCTGAACATTATGTTAAACGAAAGGAATTGAATAATCATTTTATTTAATTTATACCATGCAAAGATAAATCATTAATAATTAGCATAATAAAAAATGGAATTTATAGAAAAAAAAAGAAAATAAAAAAATAATGTTGAAACTTTTGAAAGTATTCAACATATAAAAACACCTAATAAGGTGTTATTATAGGAATGTGTAAAAAGAAAAGATTGAAAAAAAATAAAATTATATAAAAACAAAACAGAGATTAAACATTAACACATTCGAACATAAGGTGGTCTAGTGATCTATATAAACTATTAATGATACATTATATTATTATTCAACTGATCTTAAATGACTGGTAAAGTAGCCTTTGACATTTATCGAGTATAATGGAAAATCACGTTACGTAAGAATTTACGTAATTTGAGAAGAGTTTTCCTCATCGTGATTTTAAATTATTCATAATTAATTTTGAATAATATACGAGAATACAGTGAACGTTAATATTTAAATAAAAAAATTCTAAGAGTACTCTAATGCATCTTGAATCAATTTTCTTTCTATATCATTGACGTCGAATCAAAATATCGATTGAATTTTTCATTACTATGATTAATTATTTTTATAGAAAATATATTTCTATCAAATTTGATATGATCCCATCATAGTCTATTAAATAATATTAATAATTGAAAGACAATTATAACTTTAATACAAATCATTATTCTTGGAATATTTTTTACTCTATGTCAAATCCATGAATATTTTGAAACTTCTTTTTCAATTCGCTTATCATTATTTGATAATTATAATTATTATATTATATTATTATATTATATTATAATTATTTGATTATTATAATTTAAAATCTTTATTAAATGGTTGACCGAGAAGAGGTATAAGTTAAATTTGCATAATAATTATTATGCACTTATTTCAAATTTGAAAAAAAAAAAAAGAAAACAAAAAAAAAGAAACAGAAAAATCGTCATTTACAATTTCTTTTCTATTCGTCCACTTAAATATTTATTTTTAAATAATTAAACTATTACTTCTCGCTAGTAAAAGATATTATTAAAAATCTAATTGAAGAGATATAATATTTATATATTTATTATATATCATTATCTTGAAACCGTTATAAAATTGTCACGTGAAACGTGTAAAATGAACAAAACCGATCATATTTATACCCCATAGTATTTTTCAATCAGTTTAGATAAAATAATAATAAATAACAAACACCTTTACAAGTTATTTCATCTAATGCATTTACGATTACTTGACACTTAGTTGCGTGTATTACTTTTAAACATACATATACATATATAAATAAGTACATGCATTAAATATATAGATTAACAAAGTGCTGTCACGTGTTATCTGTTATTTAAAAATACTACGAACCTGAAAAATATGTAGTACGCGTGATCTTACGTTTCGAAACATCCTATAATCTGTTCTGTCACCTGCGAACGCTTTCTAACACGCACTCACGAAGATGAGTAGACATAAAGAGAGAGAGAGAGAGAGAGAGAGAGAGAGAGAAGGATAGAGAAAAGTTAGGAAATTGGGGGAGAAATAGAAAGAGAGGAAAGATAAATCGGAGATTGGTACTGGCAGGAACTGGTGTCTAGACGAACTTAACGGTTCATGGATGAAGGATCTAACATTCATCATCTTCTTCTTCTTTTTTTTTGTTCTTCTTCTTATTGTTCTTCTTCCTTTTCGCGTCCTTTCCAGAAATTCTCGAAATAAGTGATTTTATCCTTTGAATTATCTCTTCATACGAAAATTTTATTTTCCATCTTTGATATAAATAAATATAAAATAAGAATAGGAATATTATGAAAAATCATTGACCATTCTAGGATGAAATATATTGATAGGAAATAATAATATTTAATATATATTAGGAGAATTATATTATAATTGTTCAATAATTTTAATATAAATATAATAATTTAATATATATGAAATGATTTTGTTATATTAGCTCGATTTTATTATAATATTAAATAGTTATCTTAAAATGAAAATAATAATTCTAACGTGTAAATGAATGTTTCTATATTTATTTTAATTCAATAGATTCATTTTTACTTGTATCATATATCTCTTATGTTTTTTTTTATAAAAATTTATTGAAGT